AAAAATCTAACCTCCATATACTTCTCCGTAGACGCTGCAACTTTCCAGATTAGTCCCTCAATTTCATAACATCATCCATGTCCCATCATTGCTGAGTCTCATCGATAAAACTAGTGCTAAGGACCTTCTAGACTCGTTCCCATACTTATACCACAACAAATTGACCATACTACACAAAAGTACCTTTCCTCTCCCCCGAACTTATTCACTTTTCAAGCTGTTTCGTTTTTTTTTTTTTTTTTTTTTTCGGCACATATAACAAGGTTCAAAGACGCGAGTATTGATGGTGATTGCCACCGAATCCCCGGTTTGTCCCCTCATCATATATCAAAGATGTAGGCGAATAATGGGGTCACAGGAAATTTTCCTACCCCTCGCTTCCATCCCTTGTGTGATCATTCCACTTTAGAAGTAAAATAATGGGATCCTTGGAAATTTTCCTAACCCTTTACTTCTAAAAGAAAATCATTTCAATCTTTTCTGCCTTTTGTCATTTTTTTTTTTTTTTTTTTAGAAACAGCCTGAAACAATGCTTAGAACATGAGAGAGGAATACCAAATCTATCACACAGGTCTTTATTTGTCAGGTAAGAATGAGGAGTCAAGCCCTATGAGCACTAACCTGATCGATGAGGAAAATGAAAAGCTGAAAAATTAGCTCAGGTTCATTGGATGTGTCAAGAATTTTGGGCTCCTCTAGTCTACTGCTTTGTCTTTGGATTTTCCATTAGTCGATCTAGATGATTCTGCAGCAATAATCACTAGAAGAAGATGGTCAAGATTCACAAATGGTCTGAAATCATCATAGAATTGGTCCTCATTCCCACAAGCTTTGACTTGACTCATATAACCAACTGACTCAAAGAAACTAAATGACTCAAACAAACAAACTAAAAACTGACTCAAAGAAAGTACTAAAAGGAAGAAAGCAAAAGAAAGAAGTACAAGGGTCATGATCCTCCCCCGAACTTACTTCACACCGTCCCCGGTGTGAAAATAAGCTAGAGAAGTGCCCCAGAAAACTTACCTGGTTCGCACATGTAGAGCACCCTGGCGGAGCAGGTGCTCCGGAACAGAGCTGGGTGCTCCCTCGTCTTTTTTACGTGGTGAGCACCCTGTGGAGCAGGTGCTCCGACTGGGGAGGGGGTGCTCTTTCGTCACTTTTTACGTGGTGAGCAACGAACCCAGCAGATGGAGCAGGTGCTCCGGTTGGGTGCTCTTCCTTCTTCTTCCTCACATCTTCTCTTCCACGTTGAACAACTTCTTACCTGTGTTTTTTTTTTTTTTTTTGAAAACAAAGAACCTAAAAACAAAGTTAGTAGCTAAGAATTGAAAGACACAAAGTTAGAGACTCTTACCGGTGGGTTGCCTCCCACCAAGCGCTTGTTTTAAGTCATTAGCTTGACTTGGAAAGCCATTTAGGCTTGAGGAGGATCGCTTAAGGTGACTGATTCACCCTCTGCGATATTTGGACCAGCAAGGTATGGTTTCAACCTCTGTCCATTGACAACAAACTCGCCTCCTTTAGTGTCCAACAACACTACAGCTCCATATGGTCGAACCTCCTTGATGGTGAATGGTCCAGACCATCTCGATCTCAGCTTCCCTGGAAACAATTTCAATCTAGAGTTAAAGAGCAATACCTGATCGTTTGGTGCAAAGCTTCTGTTGAGGATTCTCCTGTCATGGAAAGCTTTTGTCCTCTCTTTGTAAATCTTCTCATGCAACTGCATTACTCTCCTCTCCTGAGCACTCTTTGCATCGAAATTCAGCAGCTTCACTGCCCAAGCAGCTTTGTACTCAAGTTCCACTGGAAGATGACATGCTTTTCCATACACCAAGTGGAATGGTGTAGTCCCCAAAGGTGTTTTGTAAGCTGTTCTGTATGCCCAAAGAGCATCATCAAGCTTCACTGCCCAATCCTTCCTTGTGGTGCTCACAGTCTTCTGCAGAATGTTCTTGATTTCCCTGTTGGAAACCTCAACTTGCCCACTCGTCTGAGGATGGTATGGGGTCGCCACCTTATGCCTTACACCATTCTTCTTCAACAAGTTTTCAAAGACTTTGTTGATGAAGTGAGAGCCTCCATCGCTAATCACCACTCGCGGCACACCAAACCTGGGAAAAATGACAGATTTGAACATCTTTAAAACCACCTTTGCGTCATTTGTGGGACTAGCCAGAGCTTCCACCCACTTTGACACATAGTCAACTGCCACCAGAATATACTCATTCCCATGAGATGATGGAAAAGGTCCCATGAAGTCTATACCCCACACATCGAAAATCTCTACTTCCAAGATGAAATTCTGAGGCATCTCATTCCTCCTGCTGATGTTCCCTTGTCTCTGACATGTGTCACACCTGGAGATAAAACTCGCTGCATCTCGGAACATCGTTGGCCACCAATACCCAGCTTGGAGAATTTTCGACACAGTCTTGAAAGTGGCGAAGTGACCTGCATAAGAGGATCCATGGCAATGAAACAACACTCCTGGTATCTCCTCGTCAGCTACACATCTTCTGAAAATTCCATCAGAGCAATGCCTGTATAAATAAGGCTCATCCCAAAAGTAGTGCCTCACATCCTTTAGAAACTTCTTCTTTTTGTTTCCCACAAAACCTGCAGGTTCCTGCTCTGCAGCAAGGTAATTTGCAATCTCTCCAAACCATGGGAAACCAGAATGCCGATCTATGTCAACTTGGTTGCAAAAACTCGTCAGAGCAGGTGCTCCGGTGGGGAGCAGGTGCTCGTCGAACCCAGAAACTTCTATGGCGTAAACTTGTTCATCAGGAAGGCTGTCATTTAGTGGAATGTCATCATCTATCTTCAGCCTCGACAAGTGGTCTGCAACACCATTATCAATCCCTTTTTTGTCTTTAATCTCTAAATCAAACTCCTGCAGCAAAAGGATCCATCGAAGGAGCCTTGGCTTGGCGTCCTTCTTCGTCAACAGGTATTTCAGAGCTGCATGGTCTGTGTGAACAACAACTTTCGACCCAACAAGGTAAGACCTGAACTTCTCAAAAGCATAAACCACTGCAAGAAGCTCCTTTTCAGTTGTGGCATATCTGCACTGAGCCTCGTCGAGTGTTCGGCTAGCATAATAGATGACATGGAGCCTTTTTTCTTTCCTCTGTCCCAGCACTGCTCCCCTGCATAATCGCTAGCATCGGTCATGACCTCAAAGGGTAGTTCCCAATCTGGTGGCTGGACAATAGGAGCGCTGACCAAAGCTCCTTTTATCCTGTGAAATGCCTCCAAACATGCATCATCAAACTCGAATTTCACATCCTTGCACAGCAGCTGCGTCAGGGGCCTGGCAATCTTCGAGAAATCTTTGATGAAGCGTCTGTAAAAACCTGCGTGGCCCAGAAAACTGCGAACCCCCTTGACCGATGTTGGTGGCTGCAGACTCATCATCACCTCGATCTTTGCCCTGTCCACCTCGATCCCTTTCTCTGAGATTTTGTGTCCCAGCACGATCCCATCTCTTACCATGAAATGGCATTTCTCCCAGTTAAGCACCAGATGCTTCTCCTCACACCGCTGCAAGACCCTGCACAGATTAGACAAACAGACAGAAAAGGAGCTTCCATAGACAGAAAAATCGTCCATGAAAACTTCCATTATGTCTTCAATCAGGTCAGTAAAAATCGACATCATGCAGCGTTGGAATGTTGCTGGAGCATTACACAAGCCAAATGGCATTCTGCGATATGCAAAGGTGCCATAAGGACATGTGAATGTCGTCTTCTCCTGGTCATCCGGGTGGATTGGGATCTGAAAGAAACCTGAATAACCATCTAGGAAACAGTAATAAGGATGGTTAGCCAAGCGTTCAAGCATCTGATCGATAAATGGTAAAGGAAAATGATCTTTGCGAGTTGCAGCATTCAATTTCCTGTAATCTATGCACATTCGATGCCCAGTAACAGTTCTAGTGGGTATCAATTCATTCCTATCATTTTTTATCACAGTGATGCCACCTTTCTTAGGAACTACATGAACCGGACTAACCCAATTACTATCTGAAATTGCATAGATCACACCAGCTTCTAGAAGTTTCATTATCTCTTTCTTTACAACATCTTGTAGATTCGGGTTTAGCCTCCTCTGATGTTCTACAGAAGTCATTGATTCATCTTCTAGATGTATTCTATGCATGCAAAGATCAGGAGAAATCCCTGGAATGTCATCTAGTGAATATCCTATAGCTTTCCTATACTTTCTAATTTCACAAAGAAGCAAGGCAATTTCTACATTGTTCAATTCAGAGTTCACTATCACAGGGAATGTCGAATTGGGTCCCAGAAACGCGTACCTGAGCCCCACAGGAAGGGGTTTGAGCTCAAGCTTCAGAGCTCTCAATTCGCTCCAAGGTCCATCAATCAAACCGTCGGGAGCAGGTGCTCCAGGGTTCAGAGCAGGTGCTCCGTTGGCTTTTTCTGCAGGTGAGCTCTCCTTGCCTTCTAAGCTCATGTACGCCACCTGCCTTTGCATCCTCGTGCTTGCATTCAGCATTTTTGCAAACCCATCAGCTTCTTCACTCAAATACCCATTTTCTCCTTCAGCTTTGGTGAGTGCAACTTCGAGAGGATCGATGGCCAAAACCTCTTCAGCAACCTCTTCAGCAATGCCTGAACCATCATCTATGACAAATGTCTGTCCGTCCAGCATTGGTTTCTTGAAGAGTTTATTCATCTCAAATCGCACCACCATATCTCCCAGCTGGAGATCTATCACTCCTTCTTTCACATCTATGATTGCACCAGCTGTGCATAAGAAGGATCGACCCAAAATCAAAGGATCCTTGGGTTCTTCATCAAGCTCCAGAACCACAAAATCTGCTGGAATGAGTGTATCACCTATCTGAACATGCAGATCCTCAAGTATACCAACAGGGAATTTGGTTGATCGATCAGCGAATACCAGCGAGATTTTAGTCGGTTTGAATCTGGTGTAACCCAATCGCTTGGCTACAGAGTAAGGCATCAGATTCACACTTGAACCTAGATCGCAGAGAGACCTTGCAAAAAGTACATTTCCAATCCTGACTAAGAGAACAAACCTTCCTGGATCACTTCTCTTCTTCAGCACTTTGTTCTGAAGCACAGCACTGCACTCCTTCGAAACCATCATGACACTCTCTTCCTCAACAGCTTTCCCAGACACTAACCCCTTCATGTATCTTTTAAGGGCTGGTATCATCTGAACAGCGTCAGCTAGAGGGAGTTTTACAGTCAAATCCTTCAGCATCTCCCTGCACTTTGCATCCTCTAAGTCCTTGCGAGACTTCTTTGGTGGAACTGGGTAAGGTATCTTAGGCGTGTAAACTCTTGCAGGAATGTTTGCTGGAGCAGGTGGCTGGAGCAGGTGCTCCCTCGTTGGCTCAAGGTGCTCCTTCGTCAAATCTACGTCTGGAGCAGGTGCTCCAGATTTTGGAGCAGGTGCTCCGATGGAGGAAGAGTGCTCCTTCGTCTTTTTTACGTCATGAGCTGGTTCTTCTTCTTGGAGCAGGTGCTCCACGTCCTTTTTCTTCCTCTTTTCTGAGACAGAGCTTGTTGGTGCAGCATGTAGAGTCTTCCCACTTTTAAGCTCAATAGCATTCACAAACTCATTCCTGGGGTTTTCACCTTTTCCAGGGAGAGTTCCAGGTGATCTCTTCACAGCTTCTGCAGTCTGAGCTACCTGAACATCCAGCTTCTTCACATGAGTCCACACAGCCTCATACTTGCCATTCAAATCATTGTACATGGTGTCCACTTTGGCATTAATCTCCATGGAAGACTTTTGCTGATTAACCAGCAGCTGTTGCATCAAGTTTTTCAGCGCATCCTGCGAGTTATTTGAGGAACTCGAAGAAGGCTGTAGACTTGTGAAAGGTAACTTCTGCTGATTTCCACCTTGAAATCGATTCTGATTGGTGATGAACTGCCTTCCTTGGAAGTTGCTGGAGAAGTTCTTCTGAAATCCTGACTGATTCTGCACTCCTTGCTGCGGATAGACCTGATCCTGAGGGTTCTCAACATTGTTGCTTCTGTAGGATAAATTCGGGTGGCTTCTGAAGTTGTTGAAACTGCGATTCTGCACATACCCTTGTCCATTCACGAAATTTACCTCCATCTGATCATTATTCTCTGCATCTACAAACTCTTGAGCAAGCGGTGCATCACCAACCTCATCAGCAAAATGCACAGATCTCTGGTTCTCTCTCAACAGCAGATTCACCTTTGCTGTAAGCTCATCGATTTTGCTCAACTCCACACTATGAACTGCTTTGCTAGACCTGTCATACTCTTGGGATTTGTTGCTGGAGCTTGCAGCTAAGTTCTCAATCAACTCATAAGCAGCTTCTTTGGACTTAGTCATGAAATCGCCATTGCTAGCTGCATTCAAAGCATTCCTGTAATCCCAGTTGACACCATCATAAAAGGTTGACAGAATCTGCTCATCAGAGAACCCATGGTGAGGGCACTCTCTTCGGTACTCCTTGTACCTCTCCCAAGCTTCGCAGAAAGCTTCACCAGGTTGCTGTTTAAACGACGAGATCTTGTTCTTCAGAGCTGCAGTTTTGGCCTTAGTGTAGAAATGGTCCAAAAATGCTGATCTGCACTCTTCCCATGTAGTCAATGACCCAGGTGGTAATGACTTCAGCCAGCGCAAAGCTTTGTCCGCAAGTGAGAATGGAAAAAGCTTGCACTTCAAGAAATCGGCTGGTATCCCGTTTGATCCAGTCGTGCTGCAAATCTCCTCAAAATTCTCGATGTGGTCCATCGGAATCTCAGCAGGAAGCCCATGAAAGAGGTGCTGCTTCACCAATGAGATCAGCTGAGGTTTGATCTCAAAGTCTTGCCTCTGAATGGTTGGAGGAGCAATCGCAGCCCTGTTGTGATAGTAAGCGTGCGGACTGTCCTTGTCTCCAATAGCAGGCTGTGGCTGCTTCCTGTCTTGCTGCGCCTTTTGCAGCTGCTCCAATTGTTGTCGAAGCTGTTGAACCTCGACAGCCATGTTGCCATTGTTGCCTTGATCGCCCATGTTGGCTTGAATAGGCCTTTGACGTCTGTTTTCTCGCTCGACTCTTGCTAGATCGGTGTTCGACAAAGAAACAAGATCGGTGCAGTTGCTCCTTGTGGATATGTTTGACATACACCTGAAACACACGCAAACAAGAGAACAAGAGAGAAAAATTAGTAAAGCCTTAGTCTGAATTTCAAACCAAAAATCAAAGGTAACGAATTGGTCCCCGTCGCAACGGCGCCAAAATTTGATTCTCACTAGATATACTCCTAGTTTCTACTGCAATAGAACAGTGATGTAGTTGTAATATAAAGGATTCGAAATCCAGAGGACCAGCGTTACTCTATGAATTTGTGAAGATTGAATTAAAGCTAAGACGAAAGATGGTTTGTTTCGAAAACTAAAAAGTAAACAGAATGGCAAACAACGATTTAAATTCAAATTAAAACAAGCACTAGACCAAAGCAATTCGTAGGAATTTCAGAGATAAGAACCAGATGACTATTCAGGGCACAAGTGTAACGCAAGTCTCGAACTCAAACAGAAAAGATTATCGATCCACTGTCGTGATCTCGATAACTTTGTCTAACAACCTAAATCCTAAACCGTCGTTTGAACCTAGAAAATTGCAGACAATCATTAGCTAGCAGGTTTGATCTGTTCACGATTTGCCTTAACTTCAACTGTCGTTGGCTAAGGACAAATCGCTCACCAATGTTTATTCTAGCAACCTATTGCACTTTTGATGAATAGATTAACCTAAAATCGCAGATTGAGTGATCAATTCAACCTTAGCATTAAGTCTAAAAATGGTGAAGACAATAGATATCAAGCCCTATTTGCATCTAATCCTTTAACTCACGAAATCCTTTGAACGCTCTAATCTAGCTAAGAGATCTACTCAGACATGGAGAAAAGAAACACAGAAACAGATGAAAAGGAATTCATGGATTAAAATCGCAGAAGAGATAATAGGGTTCAGAATTCTTCTCAAAGTGTAGCAGATTTCTTCTCCCAAAAGCTTACAAGTAAAAACTCTATGGTTCAGGAAAGTGTAAAAAGAAAGTGTAGAGAGTCTGTAGAAAAACGTGATCTTAAAACACAGGCGGCTGTGGGCTTTTTATTCTCTTTCTCCTCCCAAACTTAGGTAAAAGTCGATTTCCTTATTTTTCTCCCGTCTGGAGCAGGTGCTCTACGAAGGGTCCAAACCGGGAGCAGGTGCTCCGCGGATGATTTCTCCAAAAACGTGTGAAATAGCTCCTTATTGCTCAAATTCATCTCCTTTTGCTCCAATGCCTCCTAAACACTCCAATCCTTTGATAAGGCCTCTAAGTCACCTGAAACTTCCTGAAAAGACTCCAAAAACTTCTAAAACAATTAGTAAACACGAGTTAGAATGAGTCAAAATCTCCACTCATCATTATGTGATAGAAAAGACTTTTTAGGGTCTCAGGGGTATCAATCCCCTTGTCAATGTAGCACAAAGAGGTTATCAATCCAAGAATGTGGTGATAGACACTAAGCTATGTGATCAGTTTCTCAATTCAAGTAAACAAGAGTGGTTTTGATAGACTAATGACAACTACAAACTTAACACAAGATTAATGACTAGGAAGTGATCAAACAAAGAACCAAGCAAATGACAAATGATGAGAATATATGTATGATGATGAGAAAGGTCTTAGACATGATAGTGGATTAGGGTGCCTTCAATGATAAACTAGTGAGCTAATGAATCATATGATCAAGCAAACCATTCAACTTAAACATTATTAATTAAGTTAATCCTCTCATGAAGGTATCAACTCCTATGCTAGAACAGTTTCTAACCTAATCATCATTAGTGAAACATGAATCAACAAGCATTAAGAATCAGTTTAATCTGTCATTTAAGCATATAGACAATAATTCCCATGATGAATAACACTTAAACCTCTAACAACCTTGGTTCAGACATTTCATCAAACACTTTTGGTGCATGAAATATCCAGAATCTAGACCACATATGATTTGTATAGATCTAGCATTAAGAACAGGTTGTAGAGAATGGAATATGCATGATCTAACCCCTAAGCTCACTAATCAACCACTTAAGCACCCTAATCTACATATCTAAGACCTTAATATGGGATTACTCACTATAATCATGATCAACACACTAGATCCTTTGCAAGATGTGTTGTTAATCATGATTAGAAGTATGATTTGATGATGAGAAATGATAGAACAAGATATAAAACACTCTTCAAATCGATATTAAACTCAAAAGCAAGGTATTAACAAGTGGTTTTTCACCAAAAAGGAAAAGGAGACTAAAGATAGGATAAGGTTCTCTCCAAATTAGGCCTAAAAAGTATTTATAGAAGCTTTGGACGAACCGGGTCAACCCGGAACAAACCGGGTACTGACCCGGCTTTGGTGGGTAAAGAAGAAGTTTGCCACCGTCTAGCAGATTTTGGTCAGGTCGTGGCAAGTGACTGTGTCAAATCATGTATCTCTTGTTCTTGGGTGAATCATGGTGCCACGGGTTTCCTCTGATCGTGATGCATGGCCGTGTCAAATGCCGAAAGGTTGCACAAAGTTGCCACGGCCAAGTGTTACCTTGCCACGGCCAAGTGTTACCTTGCCACAGTGTAGACCGTGGCATGAAGATCGTGTCAAACCCCGAAGAACTGCAATTAAGTGCCACGGTCAGATGTGGACCGTGGCATTCCACCGTGCCATCTTTTCCTTAGCATAATTTCAAAGCTTTGATAAGGGTTATCAATCTCGCATCGTTCAGGGCTCCTCGAACCACTTCGCGTTCAGGGAAGCGTAACTTCTAGGGTACTGGTCCGAATGGTGTCATTCCAGTTTCAGTGGATAGAGGACTCAGGCATCTTCAACTTTGGTGAAGGAACCTTCCGTGCTTGAGAAGTGGAAGGTTTCCTGGAGGGCTCATCTTCTCAGTGCATTGACATGTGTCCATTCCGGAAACGTTATCTTCTTGCTCATAGCTCCGAATTGAATGATCTCGGACGTTCTGCAAAGATGATTCAAATATCTCGGATTCTGCTGAAGGCTCTGTAAACTGAATCGGTCTGGAAGTGCACCGTCCTTCGCATTCTTCGGAGCTCATCGGGTCGATCCAAAACGGCAGCGAGACAGGGGTTCCTTCCGACAAGCTTAACTCTCTGCTCACGCCTCCAAATCCTATGATTCCACCTGTTCTGGAACCATGATCTAATTTTCTCCAACTTTGATGAAGCACCCGACAACTGAATCGGACCGTAAGGTTCCCCGGACAGGCGATTTCGGAAACGTGTCTGCACCCGGATATTTTGGCCGAGAAATTTAACTAGCCGGTACGCGTTTTGGCCGAGGAATCCACCCGCGGTACATGAGAATGGCCAAGAAAAACCTTCCTGCGGTATGCGAGAATGGCTGAGAACCTCCAAAACCCATTTTCACCATCTTTCAAGTCTTGATCACCATTTCTCTACCTGGATCCATCTTTTCAACTCCAAATAGCTCCAAATACACGTGATAAACACTCAGAACATGCAAAGACTCATTGGGACCTAATGCATCTCCTAAGTCCTAAAACAAACCCTAAGGACCTAAAATACATGGAATAAGATATGATTTGGAATAAAATATACAACCTAAATGATACAAATTATGAACATATCAACTCCCCCACACTTGTCCTTTGCTTTTCCTCAAGCAAAAAGAGCAAATGAGAGAAAGAGGTTGGATGCATTGGGAGTTCATATTCCTTTTTGAGAGAGTGTATCGCTAAAAGAATTCAAGGCTCACTGTCCTAGTTGCTAATTCTAAGATGCATTGCAAACAAGATTACTCACAAAACTTTAGCCATACTTATCAATGAATGAATCAAGCTCAAGCTTAAGTTTTTCACAAACAGCCATAGTTCCAACCTTATGACATTCATTAAAGCTCATGTGAATCATGCTTATGCCAATCATGTGAACTCACTTGTCTTGGCACAGGGTTATGAGACAAAGATGATCTCATTTAATACTTTGGCTTCCATTCAGCTCAAGGGATCACTCAAGAAGGAATAAACTTTAACAGAATGCTAAGGGTAAAAAGCAACTGGTGCATACAAGAGCAGAATCCCATCTACCCAATGCCCCAAATTGGTCTTTCACCTTAAGTCTACTCCCATGAAGATCACATCCTAGCTACTCCTATCTCAAGACATTCATTGCCTTATCAACCCTCTCCTCACTTCACTCTCATTCTTTCTTTCTCACCAGGGGATTCATCTTTTCAACTTTAAACTCAGGTTTTGGGGTCTGAATATTCCACTTAGCTCTTTCTCATACAACACTTTCTAGCCTCTTTTCTTTTCTTTCCAAACACTTGAGCCTTTTTGGCTTCTTTTCTTTTCTTTTTACTTAGAGGCTAGACTTTCTTTTTCAATACACAAGAGCTTTTCTTTCTTTACACAGCAGACCCCAAACCTCTTTCTTTTCTTTTCCAACCCCTGGTTCTCATCTCAAACTTTCTCTCTACCACTCAATGTTTCACAAGATCTCTTCCTAGCCTATTCTAGACTCGTGATGTTGAGCTAGATCTACATGAGACCCTACTCTTGTCGCCCTAAATCCAACACTTTCTGTCAATTTTATTCAGAAAAAGCCTCACATCTCTCACTATAGTGTTTCAGGCTTCAAGGAAGGTTTGGTTAAAGGCATGGAACTGTCTCAAAGTGCGAGAACAGCTATTTGAGCTAGCAAAGATTGGTAAAAGGGATAAGAGAGCTCAAATATTTTGAGGGTACCCATGAGTTCACAATGACATGCACAAGCAATGATAATTAGATTGTCAAATTAAGGTTCTTACTTAGATAAGACTGGACTATTCAAAGCTTGATTCACTCTACAAGTTCAAAGCATGGATCAGTCTTGATTTCACTCTTGTTTACATGCAGCAAAGAACTAGAAACTAGGGCAGTGAACCGAATTCTTAAAGTGATATTCTCTCAAGGAAAAACCTATCATTACTCCCTTGCATTGATGCAGCCTACATGAATATGCAACTAGACTCAATCCTAAAAATGAGAATGCAACTACATGATCATTTTTTTTTTGTGAAAATTTTTCAGATTTTTCAATTTTTTTGGTTTTTTTATATGCACTTAGATGAAACTACATGAATGCATGCAAGAATGTGACTCAAGACTCAAAGTGTAAAATAAGAACAGAGAAAACATGATTAGTAAAAGATGAAACTCCTCCCTCACACTTAAATAACACAGTCCCTTGTGTTATAAAAGCATGAGAAAGGAGTTAAAGCAAAGCAAACAAGTAAAATGCAAAGACTAAAAGAAGGTCTACATGCATATGTACAGAGTTTGGAGTGTTTACCTCAATCACTGAGGTCTGATCCTAGGTAGTGGGATGGGTTGGAGGTGGAACATGATGGAGTTGAGTATCTAGGATGGGTAGCTTCATCAATCAACTCAGGCTTGACCTCAACATCATCAAAGACAAAACCCCTTGCTTTCAAAATCTTTGTCACTAGCCATCCATTGTGCACTTTTACCCTCACTCCAAGTAATATCTTTGTATATCAGCATATGGCGTGCCAAGAATGCACCACGAGATGGGATGTAGTGTGGGAGGCGAAATTCTCTCTTGCTCCTCAAGTGACTGATGAGAGTATGTAGACCCATACCCAGTAGTTCCATGTCAGCTAGATGCACCACACCATCATTGTGCTTGGTAAAGAACATTTGGCAAAGCACTTTGTGAGCATAGCGGATGGCTGGGTTTCTTATCCATGAACTCTTGCATCTTCCTCCTCTGAAGCTCCCAAAAGCAATTGTATCCCACAGGTCAGTAATCATGTGATCAGGGTATGTGAACTTCAATATCTCATCCTGTGCAGGTCTTGGAAAGGCAAAGATCTCATCTAGCTCCTTGAAGCTTACATGGTATTGTGTACCATTGATTGTGAACTCTATGTGCCCAAGACCATTTCCCTCCATGATCCTCTGATCTCTTGGGCCATATCCACAAACTTCAAGGGATGCAAGGAACTCTTGTGTTACTCCATCATGAGCCACATCTTTCATCTCAAAGAATCCACCAAATCCCATGTTGTTAAAAATGAGCTGAACCTCTTCAAGAAGCCCCATCTTTTTCAGCAGCTCCATATCAGGGAACTTGGTTTGCAGCACCTTTACATCCTTGAACATAGCAAAGTAGTCATCAAAAGTTGGTTCTTTGTCCTCAGGTTCTGGTTTTGTCTTTGCTTTCTTAACCGGCTGCAATGCTACTTCAGTATCACTCTCTGTTTCTTCTTCATCCTCAGCCACAGCCACCTCTTTTCCTTTCCTTTGAACAAATTCAACCAGAGCCAGTTCTTTACCAGAATTCTTTGAAGTAGAAGCCTTGGTTTTCTTTGGTGCAGCCACATTCTTTGCTTTCTTCTCAGCTGGATTCTTTTTGCTTCCTCTGTTTCTTCTGTTTCTTGAAAACTTTATTCCCAAAAGGTATAATCTGATCCTTTGAAGCACCAGCTTTCTCTTTTTTCGATTTCTCCATGGCCGCTGTTCTTTTTGTTCCTCCCATCCTGCATTTTCTCAAACAGCTGTGAGCACCAAAGCAAAAGAACAACAATAGTTTTCAAAAATTCACCAAGTTCAGGTGTGGTACAGATCGATTTCACCAGAAGAGAATGTGTCTTAAGCTGGTTAAAAACTCAATAAACTCAAAGCAATGGCAAGAAGCAATGCACATAAAGAGTTCAGCTTGAAACACAATTTCTTAAAAAAAAAAAAAATTGAAATACTTGATGAATTTCAAGAAATTTCTCAAAAATTCCAAGAACAGGTTATTCTCAAGCAAGATCCTTGCATTTCCTATCTATTCTACTTGCACAACATTCACAAAATGATTCCAAGGTATCAAGAGGCTTATTAAAATCGATTCCATGTGTTTCTTGTTCATGAACAATGCATTAAGACATGGAAAAGGTGAGTTTTAACAGACTAAAGTACCTAGGAATCTTCAAGTTTCGAGTGATAAATGAATCTGCAGCAAGAAAATAGACAGGATTACGAGTTTAATACAGTTGGAATTCCTCAATTTGGTTCAAGAACGAGAGAGATATGAGTGTTTAAAGTTCAAGAAATGGAGAGAAGGGGGCAAACTCGTGTGAAGAAGAAGACCAGGTGGGGAACAGCTGTAAAGGGCGCGTCCTTGACCGGTCAACGTCTGTACGGTCAACGATTTTTCAAAAATTTGGCCGCGCCATCGTTGACCGTGGCACGTGACCGTGTCAAACTCCGAACATTTGTGCTTTCTTTGCCACGGCCTGGAGCGTTCCGTGTCTTTTGACCGTGGCAATCCCCGAACAATTGCTTCTTTTCCAACCTGTGCCATGGCCAAGTCTCCTCCCCGTGGCAAACTCATCGTGGCAAGCATCGAACCTCGGTCGTTCATCTTTTTCTTTGCCACGGCCAGGTCCTTTTACCCGTGTTTTCTAACCGTGTCAAAACCCGAACCCTTGTATTTCCAAACCTGTTTTGCCACGGCCAGCTTCAGTTTCGTGTCTTTTGGCCATGTCAAAACTCGATCCCAGGTTCCTTCATCTTTGTATTGCCACGGCCGTGTCTTCTCTTCGTGCCTCTTAACCGTGGCAAGCACCGAACAATTGTTCATTCCTCTTTTCTTTGCCACGGCCCGTTGCAGTCCCGTGTCCCTTAACCGTGGCAAACCCCGAATGGTTGCTTCTTTTGCCACGGCCACACCTAAGATCGTGATTCCTCTCTCGTGGCTTAGGTAAAAAGCTTGCCACACCTTGTTATCTGACCGTGGCCGGTGACCATGTTAAAAACCGAGCATAAGCTTTTGCCTACTCCTTCATTCCTTTTCATCTTTTATTCACTTCCCAAGGGTTCAAACTCAAACCTGTAACCTGTAGACACTAAACAAACCCATAAAAACATCCTAA